CTTCCCGCTGGGCACAAGGTGCACGTGCTATTTCAAAAGACAATTATTACAGGCTCAGGGCCGTGACCAAGCCCGTAGCCAGGATTTCGATTTGGTGGGGGGTGAGTTTGATTTCGGGGGGGGGGGGGGGCTGAGTCTGAGTGAAAGAGGATCTACCCCAATACCCCCATGCATATGGGGTATATTGAGTATGGTGATCAGATCATGATATGAATAAACATAACAGTTTAAATAATGCACCAGTAAGGCCTTCTCGTGAACCACCATGAGAATTTCGGGGGGGGGGGGCTGAACCCTCAAGCCACCCCCCCCCCCCCGGCTACATGCCTGGGCGTGACAGAACACCTCCTTAAAATGCCTTGGAAAGAGTGTGTGAATGGCTGCTTGCATGGTGCAGTCCAAATTATGAATTATTCCTAGTGAAGAACAGGGGCAAGATGCCAGGAAGTGAGAGGAATCTATCCCCAAGAAGGGAAACCTGATATAATATGGTTCTGTACAGTTCAAACCACATCATATGGATCTACACTGACCATATAATGCAATGTACTGTAGATGGGGTCTCAGTTTGGAAAGCCAATCCATTTTCTTTGGAAGAGAAGGCAAAAGGCCTTTTAAAACTACAATTCCTAACATGACTCCTGTTCTGTTGTGCGCTGGTCCTGTAACAGCTGTCTTTTCTATAGGACGTATACTTTAAGCCCAGCGGGAGGCCAGGGCGCCTCAAAGAGAGGTTCTCAGGGATTTTTCTGAAGTGATGGTCTTTAGAGTCTTTAATGATACAACAAAGTCTTTATTATGGAGGAAACAACAAATCTTCAATGGTTCAAACAACACTTCAAGGCTTTCTTAATGGGCTGGTACCTGACTTTAATTAACTGTACTTTCTCTGTAGGAAAAAAAACCCCTATTTAACCTCTCCCAGGCTGTTTACTATCTATGCCTCATCAGTGTGGGTCCTACTACCAATTCCAAATGCGTCTGGGTATCGAGTAGACCTACTATCTGAGGCTTGTAGATATTTCAGATGGAGTTCTGTGGATCTGTTGTGCTGTCCTCCCTCAGAGAATTCTTTGAAAACCTCAGGGTTGTTTTCCCTCTGCTGTGAGGCTGAGAGGCTGTGAGATCTCATCCAGAGCCTTGGGACCTTTCCCTGGAATTTCTGTTTCTGTTTCCCTGGATGTTCTTGAGAAAAGAAGCTTTTCTATGGGACGAGCTGGTCTACGTCCTATAGTTTAGCTTCCTTATGTGAGACTGCCCAAAAAATGGCTCCTTTCCCTCCCAGAGCCCTGAACAAGGGGCGGAACCAAAGCTTAATTATGATGGACAGGAGGCCTGCCCTATGACTGCAAACAGATAACAGAAAGAAAATAAAGTTGGAGCTCCTGGTACAGCCGTACCAGCACAACTCCATACCATTGTGCCATGAAAGTTAAAAGGGTGCTAAACTGCAATATATTTTACAATGCAGATCAGTATTTCCCAAACTAAGATCTTCCAGATGTTTTGGACTTCAGCTCCCAGAATTCCTGATAATTGGATAAGACAGCTGTGGATTCTGGGAGTTGAAGTGCAAGAATCTGAATAACTAGATGATCTATGCTCATAATTCCCAGACACTCGTCCTTCAGGAGCTTTGGACAACACTAGGGATTCTCAAACCCGGAAGACCAAAGTTTGGGAAGCATTGCCTGTAGATACACCTATTTCCTAAAATGCAGAAACCCTTTGCGGATGGGGGGAAACAACACCAGACCCATGTGGTGTTTGTATCTCTCAGTATAATCCTCCACCAAGCAATTTTCAGACAGCACTTTCCATAATTGTTCTTCAGCTCCAAGACCATCCAGCCACAAAGAGCGAAAACAACTCAAAAGGGAGGAGGAGATTGTTTTGGTCCGGACGTTGCTTCATCTTGATGACTTGGGGGATTTTGGCTGGCCTCTCGGAGGGGTTTGCAAAACACGGCGGCTCAAGGGATGAGGATTACCCACCAGGCTTGGCTCCACCACAAAGGGATCCAGAAGCAGGGAAACATCATCGCTCCCTTCTATCCGAAACAACAAACAAAAGTGGCTCCATAAATAGACCGTCTCTCGTGTGTTGACTCTCCCCTCCTCTGGCCTCAAACAGGGATGGTCCTGGCATTCGTCTTCTGCATTTTTTCCCAAATCTCCAGGTTATAGAATCACACAATCTTGGAGTTGAAAGGGACCCCCAAAGGCCATCCAGCCCAAACCTTTTCTGCCAGGCCAAAAGGCACAACTACACCCCCTCCTAGTGTGCATCTACATGTGGAATTAATGCATGTTGACACTACTCTAACTGCCATGCTCATGGCGTTGGCATCATAAGAGCTATAGTTTTATAAGGTCTTTAGCCTTCTCTGCCAATGAGTGTTGTGCCTTTTTGCCTGGCAAAAAAAGGCTTCTCCATCAAATAGTGTTATTATTTATTATTATTTATTATTATTTATTATTATTTCAGGTACTTTTACCCCGCCCTTCTCAACCCCCGAGGGGGGACTCAGGGTGGCTTACAAAAAGGCACAATTCGATGCCTACATAGAATACATATACATATAAAACAGCAATCAAACAATTATCACAGTTAAAACGGTCAATATATAACACAATCAATAAAAATAAAACACAATCAATAAAAAACTAATCTCAAGCTCAGCGTTCGTCTTTCAGAGTTCCATAATTCCATTCTACTTTGTCAATTCCTGTCCCTCGTCGAAATCCTTCTTTATCTGCCCGATTGTCCGAATGCCTGGTCCCAAATCCATGTTTTCAGTTTTTTCCTGAAGGAAAGGAGGGATGTCCCTGTTCTGATTTCTCCGGGGAGTGAATTCCACAGGTGAGGGGCCACCACCGAGAAGGCCCTGCTCCTCGTCCCTGCCAATCTCACTTGTGATAGAGGCAGGGTCGAGGGCAGGGCCTCCTCAGAGGATCTTAGACTTCGAGGTGGGACATAGAGGGAGATCCGTTCGGACAGATACACTGGGTCGGAACCGTATAGGGTTTTGTTGCCTCACCAAACTACAACTCCCAGGATTCTATAGCAGTGAGCCATGACAGTTGAAGTGGGGTCAAACTGCATTAATTCGACAGTATAGATGCACCCCTAAAAACAGGTTTTCCATTCTCTGCTTAAAGACCTCCAAAGAGCGAGGGTCCACCACATGTTGAGGAAGGCTGTTCCCCTTTCAAATCCCTCTTTCACTCAGGAAAGTTTTCTCAATGTTTTGGTAGAGTTTCTTTTTCAGGAGTCGGAATCTATTACTCTGTCTTAGGGTGCATCTTCACTGCAGAATGAATTCAGTTTGACCCATGTTAACTGCCATTTTCCAATGCTATTGAATCCTGAGTGTTATAGTTTGGTGAGGCAACAACACTATTTGGTGGAGAAACCTCAGAGGCTGTGTAAAACTATAACTCCCATGAAATCTCAGTGTAATGACTGAGAGTACTGTGAATAGAGGGATAAAATATGGAGGCCGTGACAGACTTTGTATTTCTAGGTGCAAAGATGACTGCAGATGCAGACTGTGGCCAGGAAATCAGAAGACGCTTCCTTCTTGGGAGGAGAGCAATGTCCAGTCTCGATAAAATAGTAAAGAGTAGAGACATCAGACTGGCAACAAAGATCCATTGCCTAGTCAAAGCCATGGTCTTCCCTGTAGTCACCTACGGATGTGAGAGCTGGACCTTAGGGAAGGCCGAGCGAAGGAAGATCGATACTTTTGAGCTGTAGTGTTGGAGGAAAGTGCTGAGAGTGCCTTGGATTGCGAGAAGATCCAGCCAGTCCATCCTCCAGGAAAGAAAGCCCGACTGCTCATTGGAGGGAAGGATACTAGAGACAAAGTGGAAGTCCTTTGGCCACATCATGAGGAGACAGCAAAGCCAAGAGAAGACAATGATGCTGGGGAAAGTGGAAGGAAAAAGGAAGAGGGGCCGACCAAGGGCAAGATGGATGGATGGCATCCTTGAAGTGACTGGACTGACCTTGAAGGAGCTGGGGGTGGTGACGGCCGACAGGGAGCTCTGGTGTGGGCTGGTCCATGAGGTCACGAAGAGTCGGAGACGACTGCATGAATGAACAACAACAACATGGCAGCGTAGAAGAGACCTGAAATAAGATAAGTAAGAAAGAGCAATAGATTGACTTTTGCATGTGTGAATCCCTCTGAGGAGCAGCTGAGGGAGTTCGGGATGTTTAGCTTGGAGGAGAGAAGGATGAGAGGGAACATGATGCTTGGGTTGATTTATTGGAAAGGATGATACATTGTGGAGAAAGAGGAAAGCGTGCTTCCTGTTGCTCCAGAGGCTGGGACACAATGGAGCCATGGATGCAAATTGCAGGGAAAGAGATCCCACCTACGTTTTAGGAAGACATTCCTGATGGTAACAGCTTTCTGACAGTTGGATGTGTCACTTTGAAGTATGGTACAACCTCCTTCTATGGAAGTTTTGTTAACAGAGGGTTGAGTGCTTGAATTATTTCTTCCCACACGGTAGTACGAGGTTGGACCGGATGACCTCTGGGTTCCCTTTCAAGTCGAGGGGTTCTATGTAATCACACACGACGTCTAGCAAGAAAGTATCTGGAAATCCCTTTGACGCCTCTCCTTTCCTGTTCTGGAAGTGTCCCGACGCTTCCAAAGAACAGGGTGGATCCTGCAAGGGAGATGTGTCATGAAGTGAGAGAACACATCGGGGGTGCACTTTGGCCCAGGAAGGAACGCAACTTGGGGTGACTGAGATTGCCTTAAACCCACACCTTTTCCACCAGTCAAAGCAAGTATCTTTCCCCACCTTTCCCCAGAACTAAACCTTGAAGTATAGGTTGCAAAAGAATTATCAAAGCATTGTACTTTTTTTTGTTTTGTGGTTGCAATTTTTCATTTGGGAAAGCAAAGCACTGGATGGACGGCAAAGTCGAACGAAACCACCAGGCGGAGCTGGAGAGGTGCTGGTTTAAATAGAGCTGCTGAGCTGCCCCGAAAGCCAGTTCTCCAAGTCGACTTCTGGGTCCAGCAGCATCAACCTGCTCTGAAATCCCTCGGATTACAAAAAGGAGAGCAGAGCAGAGCAGAGAAGGAACTCTCCTTGGCTTCATCTCTCCAAGGACCAAGCGCCCTTCCTTCCTTCCTCCATCCATCCATCCTTTTCAGGCGCTCCTTTGCCTCGTTGTTGCTGTTCCAGTGGAGACGCAATGGCCAGTGGTGGTCTGCAGATGCTGGGCTTCCTCCTGGCCTTCATCGGCTGGATCGGCACCATCGTCAGCACTGCCATGCCTCAGTGGAAGATCAACTCCTACGCCGGAGACAACCTCATCACGGCCCAAGCCATCTACGAGGGTCTCTGGATGAACTGTGTGATGCAGAGCACCGGGCAGATGCAGTGCAAGGTCTTCGACTCCCTTCTCAAGCTGCCAGGTAGGCCCCCAAAACAGGGTCAAGATGGTGATGATGGCAGGCTGGGTCTCTCTAAACTGAAATGCACAGGACCAGATGTGCTTTGGATTTATTGATAGTTTAAGATCGGGAAAGACCCGGCATGGGCAAACTTGGGCCCTCCAGGTGTTTTGGACTTCAACTTGGTTGTTGGTAGGCTGTTAGGAATTGTGTGAGTTGAAGTCCAAAACACCTGGAGGGTTGAAGTTTGCCCATGGTGGGTCTATCCTGATCTTAAAATATCAATATATCCAAATCCAAAGCACATCTTCTGGTCCTAACCGGACTTGACCCAAATATAGTGTCCTATGAAATGTCATTGAATGCTGTCTTAGATTTGGGTGCCATCTCAATGACATCTCATGCTATAGGTCTATCCCAGACATGGGCAAACTTCGACCCTCCAGGTGTTTTGGACTTCAACTTGGTAGTTGGTAGGGTGTTAGGAATTGTGTTAGTTGAAGTCCAAAACATCTGGAGGGTCGAAGTTTGCCCATGCCGGGTCCATCCCAATCTTAAAATATCAATAAATCCAAATCCAAAGCACATCTTCTGGTCCTAACCGGACTTGACCCATACATAGTGTCCTATGGTCTTGACCCATATATAGTGTCCTATGAAATGTCATTGAATGCTGGGTTAGATTTGGGTGCCATCTCTATGACATCTCATGCTATAGGTCTATCCCAGACATGGGCAAACTTCGACCATCCAGGTGTTTTGGACTTCAACTTGGTAGTTGGTAGGTTGTTAGGAATTGTGTGAGTCCAAAACACCTGGAGGGTCAAAGTTTGCCCATGCCGGGTCTATCCCAATCTTAAAATATCAATAAATCCAAATCCAAAGCACATCTTCTGGTCCCAACCAGACTTGACCCATACATAGTGTCCTATGGTCTTGACCCATATCTAGTGTCCTATGAAATGTCACTGAATGCTGTGTTAGATTTGGGTCTCATCTCAATGACATCTYATRMTATAGGTCTAYCCMAGACATGGGCAAACTTGGGCCCTCCAGGTGTTTTGGACTTCAACTCWSRYARTTSSTA